TCTCGTTCCATGGCCTCTTCTGAATCTGGCTTGAACCTGTGGAAGTTCTCTGTCAATGGATGCTTGCTTCTGTTTCTGTATTACCTTTAGTAAAATTTTACTCGCATGAGATATCAAAGATATTGTCCAATGATTTCCACATTCCATTGGGTCACCTCTCTTTGGAATGGGCACAAATACAGATCTCTTCTAATAAGTTGGCCAGATAGTTGTCTTCCGAATTTCTTGCCATAGATGAGCGAGTGCCTCCAGTGCCGCCTCACTTTTTGAAAGATTTCAATTTTTATTCCATCAATTCCTGGTGCCTTGTTCTTTGCCAATTCCTGCAATGCACCTTGAACTTCTTCCTTCAGTATCATTGGCTCTTGATCATATGCTACCTTTTGAAATAGTTGAACATCAACCATTTCCTTTTGGTACAGTGATTCTGTGTATTCCTTCCATCTTCTTTTGATGCTTTTTGCATCATTCAACAAATTTCCCAGAGAATCCTTCAATAACATAAGTTGAGGCTTGAATTTTTTCTTCAGTTACCCCAGCTTGAGAAATGCTGAGCATGTTCTTCCCTTATGGTTTTCTGATTCCAGATCTTTGCACATTTCCTTGTATTATTTGATTTTATCTTCTCGAGCTGACCTTTGAAATTTTCTGTTCAGCTCTTGGACTTCCTCATTTCTTCCATATACTTTAGCATCTCTACATAGGCTGGAGAGCAAGTTTCAGTGTCTCTTCTGACATCCATTTTGATCTTTTCCTTCTTTCTTGTCTTCTTAATGACTTTTTGCTTCCTTCATGCATGATGTTCTTGATGTCATCCCACAACTCTGCTGGTCTTCAATCTTCAGTGTTCAATGTATCAAATTTGTTCTTCAGATGATCTCTAAATTCAGGTGGGATATATTCAAGGTCATAATTTGGCTCTCATGGACTTGTTTTCATTTTCTTCAACTTCAGTCTGAATTTGCATGTGAGTAATTGATGGTCTGTTCCACAGTCTGCCCCTGACCTTTTTTGGCTGACGATATGGAGCTTTCCCACTGTCTTTTTTTTTTTTAATGTTTTATTGTGAATTATGTGATAGTTTACATGGGAGAACATAAGCTTTACATTCATCCTATTGTATATCGTCTCATTGCCATTGTTACAACCCCCTCCATGCATTATCAACCAACCAAAGGGTATACCCTGTAAGCTTGCTCCCCGGTCGTCAGCACACAGCCCCTCTCCCTCTCTGGGTCGTAAGTCTCTGGCATCACTGCTTCTCTGGGTAGGGTCCACCATCTGTTTCCACAATTTGATTTCTGTGTTATTCCATCTGGTGATGTCCATGTGTGTTATCGTCTTTTATGCTTTCTAAAGAAGGTATTTGAAATAAACAAATCATTGGTTTTGCAGAATCCTATCATGTAATCTCCAGCATCATTTCTATCACCATGGCCATATTTTCCAACTACTGACCCTTCCTCTTTGTTTCCAACCTTTGCATTCCATTCACCAGTAATGATCAACAAGAGAGGGTGGTGGGGGAGAAGGGTAACCCATTTAGGGCAATAGGAGATACAGGTCATCACCTGGTGGCTCTGCCTAGTAGCTGAACAGCAGAGAGCTGGGACAAAGATAGACAGGCAGGGATTGCCATAGGCCCTGTACCCCGTAAGTGGAACACCATGACGCCCTACTTATCAGCAAGAGTGTTGTCTTTGAAGTACCCAGCCTCTGTGTCAATTGTGTTCCCCTGCCCCTCCCCAGGTCAGGCTGTCCTAACTGTCTACTCCCCTCCCACTCCCTACTTCCCTTTTATAGCGTATATCACTTTTAGAATGCGCTAATTTCGGCTTTTCTCAATGGGCTGCACCTGACTGTCCACTCTGGTTTCCTTGGTACCTAGAACATTCTGCCCAACAGTAGGCCCTCTAGGTGCATTTGGGGAAACAGGCACTGTAGAACCAACGGGACTCACCAACTAGGGGAGAGGAAAGATAAGAGAGAAATTCCCAGATGTCAGAGGTCCTAAGAAAAGAATGTCCCATTCAAGTCACAAGTGAGACAGCCAGCAGACACAGCCCCTGCTTGGGCCTTTCCTGCTCACTATCCTGAAACAAGAACTCTGAAATAGACCAGTGTTTCCCAGCATGTCTTTCATGGAATGTTGGTGTCAAAAGATTCTGGAAAATAAAGTGTTCTGTAGTTAAAATAGGCCTGAGAAACTCTAGGTCAAATACAACGAAAAAGGTTACTTATCATTCAGAGCCTTAATGTGCTAATGAGGTCCTGGTTTGGTGCTGCAGGATGAGCATTGGACTGCTCAGTGCAAGGTCAGCAGTTCAAACTCAAACCCACCAGCTGTTCCTAGGAAACCCTGTGCAGTCACTGTGAGTCGGAACCTACTGACAGCACTTAACAACAATAACAAAGAACAGACAGAACGATGGACAGTTGAGGGGGCAAGTAATGGTCAGGGACTGCAGTGGGAGAGGAACCCAGACAGACAAATAAGAGGACCCTTCTTAGAAGGGGAGTAACTCAGAAGGTGTGTTCGTTTCCTAGGGCTGTTGTCACAAAGTGCCACAAACTGGGTGGTTGATAAGAGCAGAAACTAACTATCTTACAGCACTGCGGGTGAGACGTCCCAAAGCAGCTAGTGTGCCAGGCCAGGCTCCCTTGGAAGTCTCTAGAGGAAATGCTCTCTTGTCTCTCTCCATTTATGATGGTCCTGGGAGTTCTTTAGAGTCCTGGTGTGACTGGAGCACTGGACTGCTCACCAGCTGATCATCACAAACACTGTACAGGGTCACTATGAGTTGGAATTGACTGAGTACCTGAATGGCAAAAATGGTTAAGTGCTGGACTACTAACTGAAAAATTGAAGTTTTGAACTCACCCAGAGGTCCCTTGGAAGAAAGGCTTGGTGATCCGCTTCGAAAGGCATTCAGCACAGCAAGTCCGCATGGCTACCTGACTTGTCCAGAGTAGTCGCACACATAGGGACTGTGGGGTCTCTGTAAGTCAGAACCCACTCGATGGCCACTGTCTGTTTGTTTAATCTGCTAATGTGCACTGTGATTCTCAGAGATCAAATGCAGTATTCCTCATATTGACATGGAGCTGACCACAGAGTTCTTCCTGGGAAAGTGTCTGTACCATCCCTAAATGACCATCAAGACGATTCAAAGAACACAGCACAGAAATTGCACGCAAGCTTTTGGGCAGAGAAGGAAACCTCTCCCCGCCCACTTCTGTTCCCCAAAATGACTCCTTGACCCAATATATAATAACAAGCAAAGTAGAACTGCTTGCTAAGGGGTGTGTGGAAACCCCAGGGGTCCATCCCGTCACTGCCATCACCCAAGGATCTTAGTGGCCTGAGGGGCCCAGTTTGAAAACCACCGGTGCAGCAGTATGAGCATGGAGTGGAAATGAGGATACCTGGCTTCTGGTGCTGGCTCTGTTGTTACCTGCTTCACTCTGGGCAAGTCATTTAACCTTACTGAGCCTCAGTTCCCCCATCTGTACTGAGTCTGTTAGATAGAACTCTGAACTTCAGCATTTGATGTGATGATAACTGAATCCAAACTCCAGGATTCCATAGTTTCCTGATCCCAAGATTTCATGGCTTACTGGTCTCCGACGGGGGAGTTGCCAGGCTGGCTGGTGCAGTATGAGCCCAGACAGTCAAACACAGAATTCATTAACTGCAGTGCGCTGCCTGGGGGCACCCAGTTCCCTGGGGAGGGCACACC